AATGTTTGGTGACGAATAAAATGTCCCATCCATAAACAACGTATCAGCGTGTGCGGCCCTCATTAGTCCCTCTGTGCTTCCGAATATGATCATGCGATCGACATCACCATCGTTTGCGACAATAAAGTCTCTGCCGTCTTGGGGCTGCGCCCACTCCCCCTCCAAAACGACGTTTTCCCGAGCGGCTGCAAGCAGAGGCATACGTTTGTGGCGTTCACGGTATGAAGCAGAGGAGGAGCCTTTGAAATTTGGTAGATGTGCTGCAACTTCTCCGTGTAACAAGCCGTTTGTATTTGCGTTGGTTACCTCCTCTTGGTAAATTCGGGGAATTGGGGTGATCTCTCCTGATGCCCTCCGTTTGACGCCACGAATGATTCTTTCAACCACAAGTTCCTCCTTCACGTGGAGATGGTTGTGCTCGGTTGAATTGGTTAATCTGAAATTGAAATAAAGCAACGTTATCTTACAGAAAAATGGTCGATCGATGACATTATAAACATATCAAATATTAATAAAACACAACATTCATACTAGTAATTAGATGCAAACAAATTGGATGGGCCTTAATTAAATCAAGTTTGGCTAACCATGGGATTATATACAGAGGCATAATAAACACATTAAAGGTGGATTCCCACGAAATTTCGAGCAAACTTTTCAAACAGCGTTAATTTTTGCTGCTGCGGCGATGTTGACTGTGGCCAGTGTGGCGCTTGTATCTTGTATCTTGTATCTTGTATCTTTGGGGTCCCTCTCTTGTATTTCACAAGGCACTGATTCTCTCTTTGGAATGTGCGGGGAATATATTCTTCTTCTTCTTCTTATTCCTTCTTCCTCTTCCTATTCCTTCTTATTCTTCTTCTTCTTATTCTTATTCTTTCTTCTTATTTCTTATTCTTATTCCTTCTTCGTATTTCTTATTCCTTTCTTATTCTTATTTTTTCTTCTTATTTCTTATTCTTATTCCTTCTTCGTCTTCTTATTCCTTCTTCTTCTCCTCAGGTGCCTGTGGTATTTTCACGGAGCAAATACAGGCTTGATCGATATTTTTACAGTTTCATTTTTAAAGATAACGTTTAGGTAAAGTATAGCTATTTATTTATTTGCGTTATCACAGTATTTTGTTACAAAAGTGTGCTAGAAATTACGTGGGAAGGCACGTTTAAACATGCTTGATGATATAATTTTAATTAATTCAACTGGGTACTAATTTGGCTTTGGTTCAAATGTTTGGATTAAATTTGATAATATTTACCTGTTATTTCCGTCCGTGGTTGCTTTCGCTTTGCATGTCTCAGCTGTACATTTCCAGTATCGCCCACCATCAGTAAGTTTATTATTAAGTCGAAACTTGTAGTTGCGATAAAGCAGATGCTCGCCTCCCCGTGTTGTGGGAACAAACTCCACATTGTCTTGATCAGCCATTGCGTATAGTGTATTGCGGTATTGACTCTTTTTTTAAGAATGGAAGGATCAATTTCATGCAGGGGGTGGAAGCAACCAAAATATTGGCGAAATGGGAAAATGGCGAAATGGGAAACTGGCGAAATGGGAAAATGGCGAAGTGGGAAAATGGCGAAATGGGAAACTGGCGAAATGGGAAACTGGCGAAATGGGAAATGGCGAAGTGGGAAAATGGCGAAATGGGAAACTGGCGAAATGGGAAAATGACGAAGTGGGAAAATGGGGAAATGGGAAACTGGCGAAATGGGAAATGGCGAAATGGAAAATGGCGAAATGGGAAAATGGAGTGACACCACAAATTGGTTTATACGAGATGAGCAAAGGTTTGCGATATGGCTTAGATTCATATATATTTATATATATATATATATATATAATTATATATATATATTATAAATTAGACCCACTTCGGCGTTGAAATCAACAACTGTGTTCCATTCGTGGTGGGCAAAGACGGCGAGGAATCAAACTAGAATTCTCTCGCACAGTGAGAAGGGAAATAATCGCTTATAAATCGCATCTACCGTGCGCCGGTACAGGCAACACAACAAACGCAATATCGTGATGACAACCGCATATATATATATATATATTGTAGTATATATACATAGCCGCTATACCCATCTAGTGACGAAAGCTGGTAAGGCATTGATAGTTGTTACACCGGACGGTATATATAATGAAGTATAACGCCTAGCTTAAACGTCTATACCGTGTAGCTTAAAACGTCTATACCGTGTAGCTTAGATTCAGATATATAACCGCTACCCATTTACTAACGAGCTGATAAGGCATGGATCGCCGTTATATCGGTGTACGAGCATACTGCAGGAAACCCCGAGGATTCCCCGCTGCGAACGCTCACATTGCACTGTACCTCGCTCAGGCTGATCTTCTCCAGTTCCCTATCGAGCTTCTTCCCCTTCTTCTTCTTCTGTTCGTCTCCCATCGTACCTCCTCCTCCTCCTTCTCCGCTGCTGCTTCTTCTCTTGATGGGCGTGTAATGCTAGAGATTACCGCGTCTGTCGTAGCGACTCTACAGCATTAACGGTCAGGCTGCTAGAGTGCTTTCTCAATCAGCTAAATACGAAATCAACCTTGGCTTCAGGGCTAACAGCGTATGCAGCAGCAGCAGCAGTAGCAGTAGTAGCAGCAGCAGCAGCAGCAGTAGCAACAGTATGTAGTAACAGTAGCAGTCCGCAGCAGTAGCAGCAGCAGCAGCAGCAGTAGTATGTGGTAACAGTATCAATAGCAATAGGCAGCAGCAGAATCCGGCAGGCATGTACCTGGTAATCAATGCACGCCACCTGTGTGCACAGCAATCCAGCCAATGGAAACGCAGAGGTCAGAATCTTATCGATTTAGTTCTAGCGTTGCATCCTTGCGGTGCACGGGAGCTCAATGTGAATGTTATATGCATAGATAGATACATATATATCAAGAGCGTATGAAGAAGCCTTCTTTATACGCTCTTGATATATATGTATTCAGAGCAGATGAGACTTCAGTGTATGTGTGCATGCATGGTTTCATTGTGCATATGTATAGCGATTCAACATTCAACAATGTGTTGATTTATTCTACGTTAAGTTTTGGGAGATTACAATATATATATATATATATATATATATGTATATATGCATGTATAATTGTATATTATATACAATATAAATGTATAAATTTCCGATAGTTTGCATGTGTAGCCTTAAAACGGACGCCGCATAAACCTACGCGGGAAATAAGCTACCATAAATCCGCAGTGTCCGTCTCCAGCTGTGATTATATAATATACACGCATAACTAGGGTCAGCACTGCATCAAATCACCCTACCTTCATTATAATTAGTAATTACGTGATTAGCTGCGGACCATTTCATCAGCTGTAGAGATGTTACTGCAGCATTAATCTTTCTGTGCGGCACCTGCCCCCGGAAAGCTCCGAAAATTACATCCGGACATTTCGCATTTGGCGTTATGGTAACTTCGTGCTCCGATGCATATTATTTGTAGAGTACCCAACGCAAATACACACACGCGCGCGCGGATTCTAACACGCACGCACGCACACGCGCGAACACGCGCACACACACACACACACACACACACACAGCGCACGCACGCGCACTCGCAAATACCCACACGCGCACGCACACGCACACGCACACACACGCGCACTCGCAAATACGCACACGCACACGCGCACGCACACGCACGCACGCACGCACGCACGCACGCACACCCATACGCACGCACGCACACACGCACACACGCACACCCACACGCACGCACGCACACACAAACATCGAGCAACGGGATATTATATAATTGAAGTGTGTCACGCATATAGTTCAAATAAGGAATCCATCCATTATAAGTTATTTATTAGGTTTATTATTTATTAGTTTATTATTACATGGTTCCCACAAAAGTGTGAATTATTTTTTCAATGACGTTTCAAGGACAATCTGTGACAAGTAGTTTTAGTTTTTTTGAGTCATCATACATACTTTAGATTCATATACGTGTGCGCGTCCGTTAGTGTGTGTGTATGTGTGTTTTTGTGACTGTAGAAACGCGTATTATAGCCGTATATCCACATTTTGTGCTTTGGGGGGAGGGTGTGAAAAAGTTGAGGCTGAACTCCCGCAATTTCTCTCTCGTTCTCGGGGGCTATATATATACACATCTGTAGCGTATATATATATATATATATATATATATATATATATTATATTATATATATATACTGCGCCTTTTCTCATGTTTCTTTCCCGTGCCCCTTCGCATTACTCTCCCCTCGAGATTAGTATCGCCCACAACCGTCAAGCATGTGAAAAACTTTTGCAGGTAAATGGATGTTTTCGCGAAATTTTTCACGCCCGAGGCACAGAAATGTGAAATTTACGGCGTATAATACACAGCGTACGCGTGCGATGCGACCATACCGCGTGTGCGCGCCGTCAGTTTATGGTGTGTGTATGTGTGCGCTTGTGTGACTGTAGAAAGCGTATTATAGCCCTATATCCACATTTCGTGTTTTGGCGGAGTGAAAATTTGAAGGCTGAAAACTACCATTTGCCATGGTTGACTTTTCACGTGCAACCTGATGCCGTGGGCAATAACTATCCGCAGAGAGGAAGGAAATACTCAAGGAAGAAGGGAGTGAGAGGGGAGGAGGAAGGAAAGAGGAGAGAAAGAAGGGAGGGACGGAGGGAGGGAAGGAAATGCAAGACGGAGATGTGCACCACGGCATGCGCAGTACACACGCTGTCGCTGCGCAGAACAAACGCACGTACGAGGCACAAACGGCACACACACGAGGCACGGATCACATATTTCTTCTAATATAGTTACTTCTCTCGCCTTCCCGCTCACAGGCTTTCCCTCTCCGTGACTCTCACACCCTCTCATCTCGGTCTCTCTCTACTGCTCACTTCTTTCTCTCTGCTCCCTTTCCTAGCTGGTCTCTACATTTGCCTTCACACACATCACACCCGGCGACACACACAGACCACACAGCACACACACATCGCGCACACAACACACACACACACACACACACACACACACGCACTAACACAACCACACCACACACAGCGCACATGTCTCTCTACACTCGCAATATTTCTCTTCACGCACAGCATCGGCACCACACGCACGCACGCGCACGCACAAGGCAGACACACACACCACACGCCACACACACACACACACACACACACACACGGCCACACACACTCGCGCTCGCTCGTCTCTCGTCTCTCTCATCTCATCATTCATCTCATTCGATGCGTCTCTCTACTCATCTCTCAACAACCAGTCGCGGTCATCTCTCGGCTCAGTCATCTCTCTCCATCTTTTCCTCTCTCTCTCAGATCTGCTCCTCATCTCTCTCCATCACTCTCTCCTCTCTCCTCTCTCTCTCTCTCGTCATCTCTCCTCTCTCTCCTCTCTCTGCTCTCTCTCACTGGTATCCTCTCTCTCTCGCAAATTTTTTCTCGTCGCTCTCGGCGCATATATATAATATATACGATGATTGTAATGTATATATAATATAAATATAATATATATATATATTCATATATATATATATATATATAATATATATATATATACTCGCCTTCTCCGTTCTTCCCGTGCCCCAACCTCCTTAACATCGTCCGCTACCATCGCAGATAGTATCCGCCCACAACAGTCAAGCATGGAAAAAACTTTTGGCAAGGTAAATGGAATCGTATTTCAGCGCGAAACTTTTTCAACGCCCGAGGCACAAAATGTAAATTTACGCCTATAATAGCAACGCGCACGCGTGCGATGCGAACGCATACCCGGCGTGTGCGAGTCAGTTAAGTGTGTGTGATACGTGTGCTTGTGTGACCCTGTAAGAAAACAGCGTATTATAGCCCTATATCCACATTTTTGTGTTTTGGTGCGGAGTTGAAAATTTGAGGCTGAAAACATAGCCATATTGCCTGGTTGACTTTCAACCGTGCAATCTCGATAAGCCAGTGGGCGATACTATCCCGCGAGAGGGGGAAGGAAATTTACTCAGGAAAGAAGGAGTAGAGAAGGAGAGGGAGCGAAGGAAAGAGGAGAGAAAGAAGGGAGGGACGGAGGGAAGGGAGGAATGCAGACGGAGATGTGCACACACAATAGCGACAGTAAACACCAGACTGCGCAGACAAACAGCCGCACGTACGGGGCACAACGGCCCGCACACACACAGGCACGGATAGCATCATATTTCTTCTAATAATAGTTACTGTCTCTTGCCTTTCCACG